CTGTCTCTGCGGTTGTCTGGCTCCGGCACGCAGAATCTGCACTTCTTGCTGGAATCTATGTTCGTCCTCTGGCACCTGTTGCATGATCAAAATTTTGCGTGGGGACGACTGGCTGGCTGGCTGATGCTGGACTGCGCCATCGAGCTGTGGTGCTGGCCGAGCAACTCTCTGGCTGCTGCAATGCGGAGGAACGCTCTGGCGATCCCCCTTTGTGCTCTCCTGCGGCGGTGCCACGCTGGCTCGAATGTGCGGCGCGTGGTGGTGAACGTCCCCTGCTGGGGCACGGCCGTCCAGACGCTGGAATGGCGGGTCGGCGCGTCTTGCGACAGTCCCGAGAGGCTCGCAGGTGCCTGTAACCTGCACCCAAAGCTTAGGGCCGGGACGCCAGCTCGAGCCAAAATGGCTATGGAGGAGGGAGGAAGGAGGAGGGAGGAGGAGGAAAGGGGGGAGGGGGAGGAGGGAGGACGGGGAGGAGGCGGAGTGGAGAGGGGAGACACAGGGAGCGGAGGGAAAGCAGGCGGGGTGGCCAGGCCCGGGCGCCGCGTCGGGTCGGAAGCCATTTCTGAAAGGTCTTCGCAAGAGCGATTCAAGCTGTCAAGCCCAATTGGTGGGTCCCAGACCCAGACCTCCATCGCATTGAAAAATCAAGACGGGGGCTTTTCCCAGTTCTCGGCCTCTGGGGGCCACCAGCGAGCCCCAGGACCGTCAAAAAAGGACTCAGGACGAACGAGCCCTGGGGGTCGGGACTTCTGGGGACCCCGTATGGAGCAAATCAAAGCATCGGATGGTGACCTCCGACGGTACGGTCTTGTTCAACCGCGGACATTTGTCCTTCACGTCGGCTTCCGTGTGCCACTCTCGGGCCTCGCGGGGCCATCAGGGGGGTGGGGAGCTCTGGAGCCGCAGACTGGAAAAGCCATGTCGGAGAACGTCGGGGGTCGGGGCGCACGTTGCGGGGGCCAGCGCCAACAGGGGTCAGCCAGCCCCCCCCCTCCCCGAGCCGCCCTGGCCAGCCTGGGCTTGGGAGCGACGTACGTGGAGCCGACCCCCCTCCCCTCCCTCCGCTTATCCGGGTTCGTGATGCTTCGGGGCGAGGCCAGGCTCGCGACGTGGCCCTGGCTGACCCGGGATGGCGCTGATCCGTGTCAGCGCGTGCCCTGGAGGAGGGAGCAGGTGGCGAACACACAGCAGATGGGCACAATAGACAGCACAGCCACCACAGACCTTTGACGGCAGGCTCCAGTCCACGAGTAGGCGAGCGCGTCAGACGCGTGTGCTCGATTGGAGATGGGAGTCGATGCAACGGAAGCTATTGCCTGCACGTCGATGCTGCTGCTAGCCTGAGATGACCTCACACAAAAAAAAACAACTACCTCTGCTAGGAGGCATTCGTCGTATTGGTCGCGAGGAGGAGGAGGAGGAGGAGGAGGAGGAGGAGGAGGAGGAGGAGGAGGACGAGGCGACGAAGACGAGGACGAGGAGAAGGAGGAGGAAGAGGAGGAGGGCAAGCAGGACGAGGAGGAGGAGGAGGAGCAGCAGGAGCAGGAGCAGGAGCAGGAGAAGGAGGAGGAGGAGGAGGAGCCTCAGCTTGACACACCCCTCACGCACTTCATGCCCCGTCAACCCGTGCAGCCCCACCATGGGGCTCCCAAGATCTCACGAGGGCGTCCCGCTCTCTTCTGAGACACGATCCATTGTGACATTGATAAGCAGGTTGTGTGCCGTGCCATGGGAATGGGTGCCCCGCCCCAGATGGGAGCTGGCACGCATGTGATGCGCCGGGCGGGGCTAGGGCAGGGATAAATCGTTCCAGAGCGTTCCAAAACACTCTCAGAGCGTTCTGGAGCGCTCTGAGAAGGCCGCGGCGCCCGGCGCATCCTCCAGAACCGTGGGTTTTCAGAGGTCTTCGATTTATCCCCCTGTTCGATTTTGTCCCCGTCCTGGCTTCGTCTTACGCTTGCTTAGGGTAAGCTTCCCGACAGCAAGGGTGGCGCTGCGGAGTGCGCTGGCCAAAATCGAGCTGGCGCGCTCGGGAGGCCCGTTGGGGGACGCGGGCGAGACACAGTCACGGGAGGGACAACAGCTTGGGGCACCTGCATGGTGAGGGAGCTACCACGCAGACTGCAAGAACCCAGGTGGAATGCCGGAACCTGTAGAGTTTCCACGAGAAGCGCCGCGACATGCCCAGCTGGAGGGCAACTGTCTCCTCCTCCTTCTCCACCTCCTCATCTTGCGCCTCCTTGTTTACCTCCGTTATAGGCAAAGAACCATAAGCGGCGTATCCATAATTCCTCAGAGTTCTGCGCGGATTTCTTGGATTGGCGCTGGGCCCCACTGGCGGCGCCTCTGCTGCCACCCCTGGCGAGCTCCGTAAGCCAGATGGGGGGGTCCAGCGCCGACCCAAGAACTCCGCGCAGATCTCAGATACATTACGTTTCTGCCGTTGTTTGTTTGTCAGACATGAAGAATCCTCTATAGGCAAGCCTGATTCGGGAAAAGCACGCTGGCAACGCAATGCGTGCTGGAAGCAAGCCAGCACGCTCTGAGTGAGCTTCTTGACAGCATCGCGGGCAGCAGCGCTGGCAGCGCGATGTGCACCAGCCGCGAATGGGCACGCTCGAGGCGAGTTTCTTGCTTTGCACGTATGCCGCCAGCCATGTCGGCGGATGATGAGGAGGAACAGGACGAGGAGAAGGAGGAGGGAGGAGGAGGGAGGAGGGTGGAGGGAGGAGGGAGGAAAAGAGGACAGTTGGATGGAGGAGGAGGAGGGAGGAGGAGGAGGAGGAGAGGAGGAGGAGGAGGAGGAGAGGAGGAGGAGGAGGAGGAGAGGAGGAGGAGGAGGAGGAGGAGGAGGGAGGAGGAGGGAGGAGGAGGGAGGAGGAGGGAGAGGAGGGAGGGAGGAGGGAGGAGGGAGGCGAGAGGAGGGAGGAGGTAGGAGGAAGGAGGAGGAGGAGGAGGAGCAGGAGGAGGAGGAGGTGGAGAAGGAGGAGGAGGAGGAGCGCTGGCAGTGCCAGTCCAGCACCGCGAAATACACCAGCAACGGAGAGCAAATAATCCTCGCTCTCTCTCAGGCCATGGGTTGCTCCCGGCTCGCCTGGCGACTCTCTTAATCCCATAGCGGTTGAGCACGTGAAGTGTGAAGTTCATTCGCTTGTATGGAGAAACAAGCTCGGGAAACAAGAATATACATGACCGTTCGGAGGTCCGCGCGGATTGCTCGGATCGGCGTTGGGGCCCCCTGGCGGCGCCTCCGTCGCCACCCCTGGCGCGCTCCGCGCGCCAGGGAGGGGTGTCCAGTGCCGATCCAAGAAATCAGCGTGGACCTCCGAAAGTTTCCTATTGTAGTGGCCTCCGGCCAGTGCCGCCGATCCGGGGCGCTCCTGATGCTATTGTTGTTGAAATGGACGATGACGACAACGGACGACCAACTGTCGACGAGCGGGATAATTACGACGACGACTGACGAAGGAGTTAATGACGACGAACCGACGACGACGACGACGACGACGACGACGACGACGACGAAGACGACGACGACGACGACGACGACGACGACGACGACGACGACGACGACGACGACGACGACGACGACGACGACGACGACGACTGACGGCGAACGGCTGCCGACGGCCGACGACCGACGACTGGTGACGGCGACGGGTGGAAGGTTCTTCGTTCATCGCTTTCGCTTCCGAGCAATACCAAGTCAGGCCGTGCACCTCTGGCCTGGCAGCACGCGAGTGAGCGCCTCTTGGGGCCTCTTGGTTCTTGGGGCTTCTTGGGGGCCTTTGGGGCCTCTTGGGGGCCTCTCGGGGTCCTCTTGGGGGCCTCTTGGGGACCTCTTGGGGGCCTCTGGGGGCCCCTTGGGGGCGCCTCGGGGGCATCTTGGGGGCTCTTGGGGTCATCTTGGGGTGGAGGACTAGAAGGGTCCGTTCGGGTTCACCCTCTTGAGGCCATCTTGGGGGCCTCTCGGGGTCGTCTGGGGGGGCCTCCAGGGCTATATTGGGGCCCTCTTGGACCGTCTTGAATCCTCTTGGGGGCCTCTTGGGCTGTCTTCGGGCGATCTTGAGGGCCTCTTGGACCGTCTTCGGCGCTTCTAAGACGGGAAAAGCGATAATGCTAAAACGCTTGAAAACCTATTAACAACTTTATCATTGTACCCTCTTGGGGCCCTCTTGGGGGTCCTCTTGGGATCTCCTTGAGGCGTCTTGGAGGCCTCTTGGGCCGTCTTCAGGTCATCCTGGGCGTCCAGGAGCGCCCTTGGGCCGTTTCGGGCGCCTCCTGGACCGTCTTGGTTGCCTCCTGGGCCCCTTTTGGCCCGTCTTGGGGCGGTTTGGGATTCCCGGGGGGGGGAAAGAAAGGGTGGACCCGATTACCCCCCCCCTACCCTGGCAGAGCCACCCCGGCCCCCCCCCCAAGCAGAGCTGAAGCTCAGGTTGTAGCTTTCTTAAACTCACACGCCGGATCGGCGGATTTCTTTAGCTGGTTTGTTTCCCGACAGGAGCAGAAGCGGAGGTTGGCAGAAGCCCCGCCCTGCCAAGTCGAGTGGCGAATGTTCCTTGCATCGGTTCTTGAGAGGCTGCGGCCACATTTCTTGCGGGCCTGCGCCCGTCGGGTCTGGTTCCGGGTTGTGTTCGCACGGCGTTTTGCTGAAAAGGGCTCTGCACGCAACCCTTGGGCGCTCCAGGTAGGAAAGGGGAGATGGACAGGCGACGGGCCACATCACATCACATCCTCACAGCAAGGGCATCGTGTGGGGGTCCTGCGGGATGCCTGACGGTAGAGTGGTGCTCGATTTAACCACGCCAGCTTCGGATGCAGCTTTTCTTGTTCTCCCCCCCTGCCCCCCTCCCTCTCCTCCCCCTCCCTCTTCACCCCACCCCTACCTCCACTACGTGCTCCTGGATGCGAACCAGACGGCTGCATACACACGCATCGTCGCGTTCACGAAATTGTTGTTCTCAGCAAAGCATGTGGCGAAGCCAGAATAATTGCGGTAGGGCAGGATGAAGACGACGTCTTCGGCTTCGGCGGTGGTATGGATTGAGCTTGCGCGCGTTGTTCTGTCGGCTGCCAGGTATCAATGCCCAGCGCCAGCAGGTTCGATTTGGCTTGCTTCGCGAACTCCGCTCCACCTTGACCCTGTAGTGAGCTACCAGCGTGGATTCGATTCAGTTTCAAGTGTAACGGAGGGAGGAGGCACAACAGTTGCTCACTTTGACGATCATGCTGTGGAACACGCGCGCGCAGTTCTGGCTGGGCAGGGGCGCGGCATGGGTGGTATTCGCGAGGCTTGCGCGCTACTTGTGTGGTTCGCATGCTCGGGGCGCAGTGCAGATCGCAGTGCAGATCGGCATGTGCGCATGATGTGCTGCGTGTGCGGACGCGTGCGCATGGCTCACCCCGCTAGTGTGCATCAGGTGGGTGCCTCTGCCCTGTGCAGGCCGAGCTCCAAGCCCCCTTCAGAAGATGCGGAATTGCGAGCCGGCGTCGGCACTGCGTTTGGTCCGTATCGCACGCAGAAGCTCCTTCGCGGAGTACTTCGTTTGTTGTTGTTGTTGTTGTTGTTGTTGTTGTTGTTGTTGTTGTTGGTCTCGTCCGACATTTGTGGAAGAAGCATTGCGCCATCGCACAAAAACGCGATTGAAGCCCTAGACCCCATCTTTCTGTTGCATTTTTCGAGAAGGGTCGATCTGTGATTCCCCAGGGGCCCGAAACCATGCGAAAACGCCCGGCGTAAAAAAAACGCAACGCCCGGAGCTCAGGGGTCCCACCCCTTCGGTCCACACACATAGGCCTAGGCTGTTGCGGACAAGAGCTGGCGGGTGCGCGGAACGACTGGCGCGGGCCGCGGCGGGCGCGGAGCCGTGGGCGGGTCGCGGGCGAGCCGCGGGCGGGTCGCGGAGCGGGTCGCGGGGCGAGGCGCGGTGCGAGTCGCGGTGCGCCGGCGGCAGTGGCAGCAAGCACAGCAAGAACTCGCGCTACGGATTCCCGTTTCTACCACGTACCCAGGGACGGTGTAAGACCGGTCGGCCCTCCTCACTCCGATCCTTCGTGCGTGTGATGTTCGGCTCCTCTTGGCTTTTTCGGGTTCCCTCCGCTGCGCCAGTATGGGTTGGGGCCTGTGCTGGGATCATGGGCTCGGGGTGCAAGTACAGTGCCGCCGCACTGACAGCTGCGCAAAAAGAAAAGGCGGATCAGGGGGTAATGCGCGTTGCTCTTTCGCTAGTTCGTCGAAAGGGTAGAAGGGCGCGTCTTTCCAGAGCCCGCGTAGGCTTTGGGCCAAGCTGAGCACCGCATGTGCTGCTGAATGATTAAGAGGACTCCTTTTGTTGTCCCAGGCTGGAGTTTGTTTTAGCGGCATGCATGAGCATGGGGCCAGTTGTTGAAGCCCCGACACCACGTTCCCACTGCCGTCGTCTGCAATTTGTTCCACCTGTGGTAAACTTCTGCCCATCTTGTGCTTATCCGGACCCCGGAGAAAAATATCCAGGCGAAAGACTCAACCATATGCAGTTGTGAGTACCGCGTTGTGGGTACCGCTTTCGGTGGAGCTCCTTATGGGTCCACGAGCGGTGTGGTGGGTGTGCCAAGATGGGCGTCGGGCGCATGCGGACCCTGCCACTGGAGCCTTCGGTGCAGCTCCCTGTGGGGCCTCGAACCGTGTGAGGGCAAGCCCAAATGGGCTGAGGTCGCATGCGAACCCTGCCACTGGGGCCGTCGGTGGAGCTCCTTATGCGGCCACGAACCGTGTGAGGGGCGTGCCAGAATGGGCGTCCGGCGCATGCGGACCCTGCTACTGGGCTCTTCGGTGAAGCTCCCTATGAGGCCACGAACCGTGTGGTGGGTGTGCCGAGATTGGCGTCGGGCGCATGCGAACCCTGCCACTGGAGCCTCAGGTAGAGCTCCCAATGAGGCCGCGAACCATGTGGTGGGTGTGCCGAGATGGGCGTCGGGCACATGCGAACCCTGCCACTGCGTCCTTCTGCGGAGCTCCCTGTGGGGCCACGAACCGTGTGAGGGGTGTGCCGAGATGGGCTGCGGGCGCATGCGAACCCTGCCACTGGAGCCTCCGGTAGAGCTCCCCATGAGGCCACGATCTGTGTGGTGGGTGTGCCGAGATAGGCGTCGGGCGCATGCAAACCATGCAACTGGGGCCGTCGGTGGAGCTCCCTGTGGGGCCACGAGCCGTGTGAGGGGTGTGCCGAGATGGGCGTCTGGCGCATGCGGACCCTGCAACTGGGGCCTTCGGTGGAGCTCCCTGTGGGGCCACGAACCGTGTGAGGTGTGCCCGATGGGCGTCGGGCGCATGCGAACCCTGCCATTGCGCCCTTCTGTTGAGCTCCATGCGGGGCCACGAATCGTGTGAGCGGTGTGCAAAACGGGCTGCAGGCGCATGCGGACCCTGCAACTGTGGCCTTCGGTGGGCTCCTTATGGCGCGACGAACTGTGTGAGGGGCGTGCCAGAATGGGCTGCGTGCGAACCCTGCCACTGGGGCC